CGGCATTGCAGATATCTACACTTTGCTCTATGTAGCAAAAGATTAATACTTTCATATCCCAATGCATTACCTGACAAAGGACGAATGCATTGAATATCAGTGTATTCTTCACTTTGAAAGCTCGGTCATCCGATTCATCCTCTAAATTTAGAATGCTTCTTCCCCGGAAATTCAGTATTAGGAGAACGGTCACTTGACACATAGCCTACAATCCGCAAACAATTAGAACGTGGATATTTAGTCCATGTTTGGGCTTCATTTTGATTTTAATACATTTTTTTCTTTCTTGTTTCCAACCACACATTTTTCAATAAAATAATATTACACGTAAATTCAAAACATTTTCTTCTTTTTTAATTACACATTCTCAAAAAAAATTACTATTCCAAAATACATTTTTCCCACAACCTCATTAAAATAGAGCCCAAACAAGGGCTTAATGAAGTATTTTAGTTTCCATCCAAATATAAAAAAACTCAATAATATAGTTAACAAATAAGTTTGATACCTGAATTATCAAGTTCCTCGACATGACATTAGTAACGAGAGGTGCCCTAAAATATTGACACTAATGTTTGATCAGTAAATAATTTCAATCTCAGAAAGTGCATGACGGAATTTAATGATACAGACAAGAAATAAAAGGACGTCTCTACACCATGATGCTTTCTAGTAACTTAAAACACTCATAAGGTGGAGCCTAGTATAAGGGAATGGGGAAGGAAGAGTGACACAGTCAAAAAAACAAGAAAAGCCACAACCATGACAATCAAGCAATAAAGCAAGATCAAATTTCGAACAGAACACTCCGTGTTATTTATTAAATCGAACGTCCCACTCTTCCTCTGAATGACAACGAACATGAAATAATAAAACCTAACTATAAGTCCTGACTGGATAAGGAAAGCAAATCCAACATTTTTAATAGAATAAGGAAACATAAAAACTAAGGGCATATTCTCTTTGCTGTTTTCGGACCGTTTTCTGTTTTCGATTTTTCAAAACAGTGAAAATACGTTCTCTTTCCTGTTTTTGAAAATGAATTTTTGAAAAAAAAAAATCAACTGAAAACCCAACGTTTCCTTCACAAAGAATAAAAAACGCGGAAAACAGGCTGTCTCTCCATTTCCCCCAAATTCTTCCTCAGCTACGGATCCACCTCCTCCTTCCATCAATAACTTCCACCACCCGCCACCTAAGTTGCCAAACCCCCACAACACCGGTACTCACTAACCTCCCGCTACAACTTCCGACCATCGCCTGTCCACCGACCGCTGTTTCGCGCGGGTAGTAGCTAACAATTAAAAAAGAAATTCAGACGATTGTATAAGGGACAAATCTCTTGAGACAAAGTCCTCAAAATGGGTGCTTTATTGATGAGAGTTACAATTGGAAATAAACAGAATGCCTCCAAGGGGCATAAGTACACGAATACTGAAAATGAATAATTAAAGTTAATTTAAGAAATTGAAATTACATATTCTCTATTTGAGAGTGTTTGATTCGGAATTTTTTTCCTTTATGTCTTTTCTTCATTTTATATTCCTATGATGATTTTTTTCGTAACAAACCGTTTAGAAACTTCTTGATTGCTTTCTAACTACCCACTTTCTTCATGGTGACTAACTTGTCGTGGAGCTGTCATCTTTAACTGCTGTCATTACTCTTTGTCGCTCAACTACCTTCAAATAGGCTCCTTAAATCATGGAATGTAATAATCTGCTCGATAACTGTTTCAGTAACTGTTATTCTTGGATGATCATAATATCTCATGTGTTAAGATTCTGGGCGACTCGAAGGTTCGGGCGAGAACGAGATTATCGCTCTGGGCGACTGTAAGGCACCCCATTCACTCAAATTCTGGACGTCTTGCAGGCTTGAGCGATGATATTACTGTGTTCGTAGGCTTCCTCTACATTCATCAATAACCTTATTTGGGTCTTTATCCTGGACTCCCCAGTTGGGCCTCACTTTTTAGGCTATTTGATTTGGACTGCACTTTTAGTGTGTCAACAATTACCCCCAATATGGCAGATTTAATACCAAGTATTAATTTATGCTATATTCACCTTGTATTTTTCAGGCAACATTTGAAGTTCTCAAAAATTTCAATCATTATTTCCTTCTATAGCCTAAAAAGGTGCAACGTTACAAACCCTTATAAACCCAAAAGACACGCCATTTCATCGCACCACTAAATCACGTCTCTATATTTCGCGCTTCTTCCTCACTATTTTACTGTTCATCTTCTTGCTTTTCTGATACGTTTCGTACGCAAGTCTTAACAAGACTGTACTTTGCACTCAATGGCGACTTCACGAACTCAATCTGATGATGCTTTTAGTTTCGAAGATTTTCGGAACATCCTTACTGGGCCGTATGTAAATGCAAACTTCCTCGCACCAGCCAATGCTGACCTCAATGAATTCTATTTAGGTCCATCATTCAACAATGCCCAAGCTGTTGAACAAGTGGCGGTGGGTCAGTTGTTCCCTTGCACTGAAGACCCTCTATTTCTGAACTCCCTGCCATTGAAGCCAATCCGCGAAAAGGTATTCGTACTTGGCCAAAACCTGATCCTAATTTTCATAGATGGCATGCACGCATGGTAAATCATGGTCCCACCAAAGCAATTTTTGATCGTGCTAAGATTTTGGACCTATTAGAAATTATCATTTTCCCCCAATTTATGACCCAGTGCTTTTTCCAAACGCCATGAGTTTCTAGTATTCTGAGTATAACACTTTTATCTTTCCTCTTGCCCCAATGTCCTTTACTCTAAGGGATGTTGGAGCCCTAGTGAATCTTCCGCCTTCGGGCGATACTATCTTTCCTGGTATCTTGATTTACAGTGTTGCTCCACAATTTGACAAGAGAGTTGCCAAATCTTATTCAAGCATGCAAACCCTTTATACTGCTTCCAATTCTGATCCTACTCATGCTGAAAGTGTTGCTTTCCTTCAGGTCTGGCTCTGTAAATATGTTCTTTGTGTCTCCAGCCTGAAACCCTCATTGAGTTATCTGTCCCTATCGCATGAATTAGCACGTGGCAGATCTTTGAATTTGTGCTCATTCTTTTTAGTCGCCTTTTATAGAGGCATGGCTTCCCTCTAACTCCAATTAAAGAATGGTGCATCTCCTACTGGTACTGGGCCCCTTTGGCTTGTTCAATTGTGGTTGAGAGCCTATTTTCAACAACTTGGTGCTTCACCGTCTCCTCCTCGAATGGTTAGCTGTTATGGACTATTTATTCATCAAATGAGCCCCGTATATATGTCCAGCAGGGACGTTTTTACATTCTTTTATACTTTGAATTCAACGCCTTCTTTCTTTCCCTTTTCTCCTCATCAAATTCCTTTCTACGTACGGGCTACGGCCTCCTTCTATCTTAGCCGAAGTGAGCACCTCTTTANTTCTTTCCTTTTTCTCCTCATCAAATCCCTCTATATGTACGGCCTCCTTCTACCTTAGCTATGTGAGTACTTTTTTTACCCATCTGGGTTCAGTTTTTGGTTGGAAGAGAATTGTTCCATGACATTGTCACATGAACAAATGCTAAATCAGGGGTTGAGATGTATGCTCCCCAATTTCTTGCTCGCCAACTTGGTTTCCGCGAAACGTGGCCTGTTCCTCCTTGTTATTCTAAAAGCTTGACAGAGCATTTCTATACTATCAGTAAAATCAAGGCGCAAGCCATTGACATCCGTAATAACCTTTTGGCCGAAGGTTTCTCTTTAGCCCCTTTCACTTCTACCGTTGTCACACATCTTCTTTTTGAACAACTCTGGCCATCAGTGAAACGCAGATTGTTTGCAACTAATGCTAATCGCGCCTTCCATTTACTGGATTGGCCAAACACTTTCTCTGCCTCTCCTGTTTTGGCCGCACCCGTGTCCATTAGGAATCCTTCCTCCCAGCTCGCGCTAAACTTTCTATTCTTCCATCTTCTTCTCCTCCTACCAAGACTAATATAGCCAAAGGCACCTCCAGCCGCAAAAGTCCAGCTTCATCATCTCCCATTTTGCAAGATGATGATGATGATGATGATGATGCTAAACTTTCTATTCTTCCATCTTCTTCTCCTCCTACCAAGACTACTATAGTCAAAGGCACCTCCAGCCGCAAAAGGCCAGCTTCAGCATCTCCCATTTTGCAAGATGATGATGATAATGATGATGATGATGATGGTGATGCTCCTCTCATCCTTAGGAGAAAGGTAACTGAATTTGTTTATTCATAAACATACTTCTCTATGAACTAATGGTTTACCTGAATTCCTCAGAAAAGTTCAGCCTCTCCTTCGAAGTCTCTAATTTTGGCAGTTCCTACTTCATTACCCTGTGCTGAGGCTGCTTCGTCCAAATCAGCTGATGAAGGGACTATGCTCAAAGATAAACCCTTAGTCTTAGAATCTTCATTGTAACCAGTAGAAAGGCCACCTACTTTCCAGGTCGTCGACCCCCCAAATGTTGAACCGAAAGGTAATACATTTTGATGTTTTACCTTTGCTTGTGCTTCTGGTTTTTGATTTGTTGCTTTCTTAAATTATGCAGAGGCTTCCATGGAGCTGCCTGTTATGGCAGAATCTTCTCGTCCAGATAAGGGGAAGTCCCTACAAGTGGTAGAGCCAACTGGTGACATGTCTGAATCTCCAGGATTGATGATATGATAGCCTTTTAACTCACTTTCATTTTCACTTTGCTCATCATAGTGAAGGTCCACATTATTAGCCTCTTTCTTTGTAGGGTGCTGATGAGAGTGTACATTCCATCCAGGACTTGTTCACTTCTTGGGGACAAGTAAAGACACCTCGTCCTACTTCAACCAGTCATTCTTCTACTTCATCTTCCGCTTTTTCGGAAGAAAATATGAAATCTCTCAAGCAGTCAGTATTTGAGTATATGTCTTTCATGGACATGAAAATTGGCAAGCCAGTATTGCCGAACAGAAGGATAAGTTTGAGCTATTGAGTGCGAAATTGACACAAGCACTTACACTTCCGTCGCTCAATGTTTCTGCTGACTTTAAAGCGACGTTGAAGGTTGTCTACTCTGACATCCTTTCTTTGCTAGCCAAAAATATGGACTTAAAGGCCAGGAGTACTAAATATCTTCGTGCTTCGTCTGAAAGAGAGTCTTTGCTTTTGGAGATTAAGAAAGTCAAGGATGAATTGAAAGAAATCTCCTCTGAAGTTATGGTCGA